TTAATTATATTAATACAACATTTTTGTTTAGAAAAATTTTAATTAAAAATTTATTAAATTAATTAGTTATTATTTTAATGAGTTAATTATTTAAATTACATTAATTGCATCAATATATATGTATATAATCATGCTATACAATGTATTTAAATAGAAATATGTATTATATATGTGCATATATATATGTATATTTTTATTACAGAAGAAATAAACAAGAGATAAATTGCAGTTAAAATGGAAGATAATTAATTATTTCATTATGGAAATTTTCTAAATCACAGACTTACTTCTCTGAACTACCACAGTACTAAATTTTACTCTTGAGTACACAATGAATTTTAGCAGCATGCAAAATAGATAAATCGCTTAGCAATATGAAACATTGTAAGTTCTTTTTTATAACATATATCTTTTATCTTTCTTCTTATCAATATTTTTCTCTATTTTTTATATTTGTCCTATTTATATCTACTTATTAAAATATGCAATATATTATTTTCTCTTATAGAGGCTTCTATAGACTTGAAGGTGAAAATATAAAAATTACAAAGCTCCAAAAAAACTCATTTAACATTGGCACACTATCCTTTTAATTTTAGTACTAAACAATAAAAAATAACTGAAGTTCAAAAAAGCACAATACGAAGATGTGCAGAATTTATTCGACTCTCAACTATCCTAATAATAAAAATTATAAAACTATAGACAGGATTTATAAAATTAAATACATAAAAGATATCATACAAGATTTGGAAAGTTATGGCCCAGCTGGTTTAATACACATCGCTTTTTTAAGTAACATAATCCAAAGACCTATTAGGATATGGAATGCTAATGGTAATTTAAACAAAATAATTGGCAAAAAAAAAACGGGACAGCCTGTAGATATCGAATATCATGCGATCAATTTGGAAGAAATAGGTAAGAGTCAATTAAATAAAAAGTTTTAAAATTAATTGTAAATCAATAATAGAGTCACAATTTTTCAAGTTTTACGAGACACTTTAGGATGATTCTTTTACTTTAGGATTTCGTTTCTTTTAGTCCAATTAAAATAAAACTAGAAATCAATACGAAAATATACCTATCTATATATCTTTATGTTTTGGATATTTTCTCTTAATAACTTTTTTTGAAAAATAATAACGAAAAATAAAACGACGAATTAACAAATTTAGATCGATGAGAATAAATCTAACTTAAAGAAGAAAAATCTTAGATATTCAAAGTAAATCTTGTAAATTTATGTATAGGTATACATATCTATAAAGATGGGTATCCACCAAACAAGCATTTTCTTACGAACATTTACAAATGTTTGTGAATATTTTGTATATAATGTTTGCTTTGTTTTGTATGTACATCTGTGTTTGAAGACTTCGCCGAATTTATTCATGAAAATGCTTGCAAACGTTTGCAAACATTTTGCGCAGTTGGTGGATATCCACTTTAACAATTCTGTAAACTGCGCGCAAAAATCTTTGTTGAATTTAAAACACATTTAAAAGCATATACTCTTTTACAGAAGAGTAGTAATGTTATTTTATTATAAATTAGCAAGCAATTTAATAATTTTTTTATGCTATTAAGCATCTTTTATAAGAATAGTAGATTATAAGGTTTAAAGAGAATCTAAATCTGTACGAATAATTTTTTTGCAAAAAATATTACTTCAGTCAAAGAATTAATTCCAGATTTTCCGGGATGAGCGTTATGCCAATTCAACCACCTTTTTTTGAAGAATTACGATTTTAACAGCTTATGTTGTCGAGGTCATTGCAATCCTTTTTTTAATTTTATCACATCATTTTAGTACAATGTACACAATAATAATAAATTTTTATTATTATTTATTAGTAAGATATACATACACACATAAAAAGATCAATTATTTGTGTGTGTGCGCGCGCGTGTATGTATGTATTAGATTATTCGGAAAGTTCGTTTCAATTTTCTAGCTCAAAATTGTATATTCATCTTCGCAAAAAATTAACGAAATTTAAATGTGAAGAAAGGTATTAAAACTTGAAATTTCTACTTTTGAAAGGTTATTATATTTTTTAATTTTCTGTGAGTTCGGTAATTTTTACATATTAAAAACTACGAACTGAAAAAAATGAGTAACATTATTTTTACTTGGTAGGATTTTCATGTGTCCAAAAAAAATTTGCGAAAATTTTCGATTGCCTATCGTAAAAGCTTGAAGTTCTCTCTACAAAATCGTTTTTTAAAAATATTCCTACAATTTTTTGTTCCTAAGTTATTGGCGAATTAAGTAAAGGCACATTTCAATTGCTCATAACTCCGATAAAAATCATCGTACCGCAATTAAGAAATCAGGGAGTCAATTGTGTATTTTAAAATGAGGTGGAAATTACAAAAGTGAGCAAATTCACTACATAATGATCAATTATAAATTATTATTTGAGCGGATATTAATTTAATTTAATTTAAATTATTAATATTCTAGTGAATTTGTTCACTTTTGTAATTTTTAATTCATTTCAAGATACACAATTACCTAGTGAGAAATAAAATCGACATCGAATTGATGTCGATTTGACGTCGAAATCTTCAAATCGACATCGATTCCATTGTCATTTCTCAATGGGTAATCTCCAGATTCTTAAAGCTGAAATTTTTCGTTCTATCGAATGGTATAATTGCTAATTTTTTGAATGTACAATATACTATTTTGAGCTAGAAAATTTGAAATAAATTTTCCGAACAACTTAATACATGGTTTTATTTATAAATTCCGTTCCTTCTTTGTATACTTTAATATATTTCACATATACTTAATTAAAATGTTTAAAAGTCAACAGTTTACACATAAGAATCTCGTGTGTGTTTTATCTCATTTTCAGTCCAAACTTTTCTAAGGATCCTATTTTGTAAATTTTAACGACTGCAATGATATCGTTACATTATAATTGCGCAGATTTTGTATACCGCAAAATAGCTGCGCAATGATAATTTAACGATATCGTTAGAGTCGATATCGTTAATATCGATATCATTAAGAATAGGTCTCTAAATATTCTCTAGGTCATTGGACGCTAAGAGGTGGAAAAGATCCTGACAATGTTATCAGTGACTTAAATAGCTGTCTTTTTTCGGCAATCGGTTCTCAAATCGGGCAGAATCCATTAAGATTGCGTAAATGGACACAACTAAAACTGAAAGTCAATTTTCAGAATTTAATCAAATGGATAGATAAGATCCTTCAATTGGAGGGAAGCAATAAGAGAATCTTGATGATTGGCGGGGCTCGTTACATTGGCAAAACAATTGAAGATGCTAAAGCAATATTAGACAAATCACAAAGAGCAGAAGGCTATAACCAGTACTCTAGTAAGTTAGGTGCTTGTCTGACTCTCCAAACTGTCGAAACATAAATATGTTCCAATTTTAGCAAAGAAAAAAAAACAAAAAGATCATGCTGAAAAAAATTTATAATTTTTTCAAATTATAAAATAGTAAAATATGTATTATAGCTCCATCGATTGGATAAGTTTTCCTTGCAAATTAATATGGATAACGGAAAAACTCAACTTTGAATTTATATTTTAAAAGTTATATTAATAACAAAAATCAATTTCATGATTTGTTGCCAAGAATTTTATACATTTCTTAAGGATTCATCTTCTTTGTTAAAGAAGATAATTTCAAATGATAAATATAAATAATTATATTATTTCTAAAAATAAAATGCTATAATTGTATTGTTCTATTATCCATTCATTCTCTCGCTTAATAAAGTTATTCTGTTTTAAATTAAAAAATATCTAGTCACTTCAATTACAGAAACATATCGACGCGCTACGAAGAGTAGCAAGTTTCATTTGCCCTACGAAAAAATTCCACTTACAATGTCGTTGAGTCGAAAAATGTTATGTTTCCGTTTTCCCCGCGAAAATTAATGCATTTTAGTTTTGATTTTCGAAAATTAACACATTTTATTTTATACCACGAATAATAATATATATATTTGAGCGTTTTGTGACGAAAAATAGTATGTTTCTTTTTACACCACGAAAACTAACACGTTCCAACATTAATGGCCTTTAACCGCGAAAAGTAATATATTTCACTTTATATCGCGAAAACTCATATGTTTGATGGTTTGACTACGAAAACTAATATATTTGATGATTTGACTACGAAAACTAATATATTTGATGGTTTGACTACGAAAAATATAGTCTGTTTCACTTTATACCGCGAAAAGTAACATGGTTGTAGACATATTTTTCGAGAATTTCGTATGCTTTCCTTTTAGAGGACACACTCGACACAAACATCGTTCTATCTTTATCATTCGTTGAATGTTAAAAAGGATAGAACGACGTTTGTGTCAAGTGTGTCATCTAAAAGGAAAGCATACTTCGATGACTGTCAAAGGTTAGAAATACTTATACTAGTTTTTATAGATTTTATTTTTGGTTCCAAATAGTAAAATGAATACTCCATTGTTATTGTTGCTTTTTACTTCCGTAAACAGAGAGAGTGCGGAGATTTAGAGAGACATCGACCAACTGCACACACCATGTTATCCTTCCATAGGTAAAACATATTAGGTTCCACGGTATAATTATAATTTGTAAATCATATATACTTCTTTTCATGATCAAACGTTAAAACGAGTTAATTTTTGCGACATAAAATATTATTAGATACCTTTCGTAGCGAAATTTTAAACATAATAGTTTCCGCGTTTAATAAAGTGAAACACCTTACTTTTCAAGGTTAAACGCCTTTAAATGTTGGAACGCGTTATAGTTTTCGTGATATAAACAAGAAACGTCATAACAGAATTCCAAGTTGGCCATTCTAGAGGACACGCTTCAAAACCTACCGAGACTGAATTTAACGAAGACAGAATCGAGCAATATTCTCGAAGGTATGATAAGACTGGTTTTTTATCAGACGGTGATATGGATTTTGTCACTCATTTGGCACTGAAAACAGAACAAGCTCAAGATGCCATAATAAAACTCAATAAGACTTCCCGTGACAGTATAAAATTAACGATACCGAGAGACGACATAGAAACACAGAGATTCATAGAATGCTTCACAAGACTTGACTTGCCAAAAGCAACAAAATGGTCGAAAGGAGTGAAATCGAAGTGTCCTTCACGGGAATTTAAAAGTATAATATTAATAATAGGTCATTTTTTAAACAAGACGGATTGTAAGGAGGAAGATGTTTGGATATGTACTACGTATCCGAAGATTCCTTCCTGCAAAAAGGGTAGAAAGTTCCCCACAGCACAGAAAGTTCCCGGGAGCTCATAAAATTTTTGTGAGCTTCATTTAAGCTTAAAAATGAACTCCTATGTCCGCATTTGTGAGTTCCCTGGGAGCTTTATTTTCGCAGAGAGCTCTTATTTTTTAAAAATAAAATGCTATAATTGTATTGTTCTGTTATCCATCCATTCTCTCGCTTAATAAAGTTATCCTGTTTTAAATTAAAAAATATCTAGTCACTTAAAATACAGGACCATCTGGGAAGAGACGATACGTAACAATCACAAGACTTGTACATGTACGCGGCCATTCTAGAGGACACGCTAAGACTCGACATTCCATAGAGTCAAACAATATTCTCTACATAGTCTAGATGATTTGAGCTCTCGTTGAGATCGTAAAATTTTTTGTGTAAGCTTTATTTCAATTTCAAAAGAAATCGTTTGGAGCTCTGCTCGCGGGGATCTTTCTTTGTCAAATCGTGTAGGCTCTACGGAAGGTCAGCATTATGAACTCCCTGGGAGTTCATTTTGTCGAATTTTATAAGTTCCACGAGAGCTCAGAGAAGTGAACTCGCAGGGATCTTTCTTTATCGAATCGTGTAAGCTCCACGGAAGTTCAGCATTATGAACTCCCTGGGAGTTCATTTTGTCGAATTTTGTGGGCTCCCCGAGAGCTCAGCGAAATGAACTCCTGGGGAGCTTGAACGGAGTTTTGTGCTGTGTAGGTTAGGATTAAAAGAAGCATCACGCACAAAGAAGATAATTAGATTTTCAAAGAAGATTAAGAAAATTAAGATTACGAACTATCCAAACTATTATGTAGCAAAATACTAGCAATTTATCAGCAAATTGATGGCAAATGATCAAATTTCTACTACAGATCCTTAGCAATCTATGTTCACATTAAGGTTCTGCGACAGAATCTACTGATATACTACGCACCAGCAATTTGATGGCAAAAACCAAGTAAGTTTTACGCGCAGGCAATTTGATAGCAGACTAGCACAGTAGAAACTGAGTAGAACTTGTAGAACTGCCAATCTGCTGGCAAAGCATATCAGTAAGCTTTGTCTTATTTCTAGCGGCAGTTTGTATCGATGTCAGATATTACAGACCGTGTAAAATTTGTTGCTCTTTTACCATAAAATTAGTAGCATACTTTACTTAAAATTTGCCTGTTGCAAACTTGATCATCTAGGTAGTTAACAAGAAAAATAGCCACGTATTTTATAGACAAAATCAAATTCATTAGAAGCTTTTAACTATACTGTCTGGACTTTTTCCACACATCTGCAAATCTTGTATATACATCTGTTTTATTTTAAGAACAATTATTGTCCAAAAATACAATCACTGGAATTATTATGTCTGTTCTTTAAATACATTTGCAATAATAAAAGGATGTTAAATAACAGAGATTTGTAATGATTTATATCTTGCGCTGTACTATCTAATGTGTTTAACAGATTCTCAATTATGGTAATAATAATTTTAATTTCCGCTCCATAAATATTCAAATGATTAACAATCTCGTACAGCCAAGGAAGGATGCCATATCCTCGTATAAGGAGTAAAGATGCTTTAGGAATTTTAGTAGTAGAGGCGACAACTTCCAAAATTAGTTTCTAAAAAAAAGTTTATATCAATATTTAAAGAATAATATTTTATAATAAAACTTATAATAAAGAAATCTAATTCGTAAATCTACTTAATTAATTTTATTAATATATAAACAAGACAATTGATTAAAAATTAAGATTGCTCCTTGATGTTTATTACGATTGAATTTTAAATTCATTATAATTGAACCTCTGTTGTTAATTCAGTCAAACAAATTCCCTATTCTTAATCTTTTCTCACAATCTTTGCTCCAAAAATGCATGCACAAAATAAATATATCGTTGTATTGACAATCAAAATCAGGATTACGCATAGTATTTTCTTATTTGAAATTGTTTTCTCACTTTACTTACGGTTACACATAATTATCAATTACATAATCATGTAACTAATATAAAGTAATAAAAAAGTAGCACAAAAAAGGGAAACTGTTAAAATTATAACATTTTAGAGAATTAAAAAAATGAGAAAATATTAAGAATAGGGATATTAACAATAAGAATGTTAAGAATAGAAAATTTTAATTGTATGTCACATCAAATGAAAAATTAACTCACCTTGGTCTTGACATCCGACAATACACTAATGTGAAAATCAAGAAGAATTTTGAACAACATGCATTTTATGGCCACATTTACATCATTTTCCCCCTTCATGCCATCTCGGATGTTCTCTAAAACCCATTGTCGATGCGCATTATGCTCCACGTGTGAGCTATGCAACAACTGCAGCAACTCCGGTATGGTATTTAGATCTAGGGCAGTTTTGGCCATTAGGAAGGTGTGCAACGGCGAATAAAGGGGATGCAAAGGTTGACTAGCGACTAACGAGGTCCTAGCTAAAAAGGTGGTCATCAGACAACTCAGGTGGACATCCTTCAATTGGCACTTTAAGGAAACGACTCCATTTCGCAAAGCATCAATCAGACGCATCCATAATAACTTTTCTTTAGATCTAGTAAATAAGGAAATTGGTTTTTTAATGAATAATATTTTAATCCTTTATCTCCTTTGGATTTATTAAGACTTTGGAAAATATACTTCTGTCTATATGGCAATCAATGGAAAAAAATTGGCGCTTTTAATATAAAACTCGGAGATGAATCTCTAAAAAATTTCTTCTAAAAAATCTCTAAATTTTTTTCCATTGAAAAAAAAAAGTAAGGGAACATAAAAGAATAATAATATATATATATATATATATAATCAAAGATAATTAAACAAACTAAATTTAAAATTTAACATTAAACTGAGTAATTAAATTACTAATAAATAAACTAAATTATGACAAATAATTAAGTTCTTTATTCTAGAAAACCTATTATTTATCATAATGTATTTACTGGTTTCATTTTTTTGTAATTATTAAAATTGCTTACTTACTTGGATGCTTCTAAATGAAAGTAATATCTAGAGATAATAGTATATGCTGTCATTCGAATATCGTTCGAGTCACTACAACACGCAGCAAATACTAACGCTAATGCACCACTCTGGCTTACTTTATAATACGCAACAATATTATTTTCTGCTAACAAAGTACACAGCAATGGCAGATAAAATGCTGGGTCATATACATTACTATTCTCGTGTATATACAATTCATTATTCTGAAAAAAGGCAATAAAATAGAATTCTTCTCCAAAGATAAAAAAATAAAAATCTTATGTAACATAAGAACCTACAAAATATGATTCTATTCATTTTTGTGTACTTGTAGTTTTTATAAATATCTGAACTTTTTATTTTAAAAAGGATTATATAGTAGAAAATATTTCAAACTTTAAATTTATCTAAAATTTTAACATCGGTTTTGTAAAAAGTATTCAGGTCACTTACTTTCATAGCTCTGTGTATAGGATAATTTTTTATAGTCTCGTTGACAATATCCTTATTGAATAAGTTAAAGACTTCAGAAGTGGAGGGTTGTCTCCACAGAGCAGTATTTATCTCTCCTTTTACGCTGTAACGTGTTGCTGCAGCACTCCCCCACAAATATGGCCAATACTGTTGAAGCTTAACATTATGAGTTTCATAATATTGAAGAATCTGAAAAAACATTAGATATTGTAGCTAATATTCCTTCAACAACGCAATAATTCCGATATCTCGCGATTCTTACCTGCAAAATGCGCTGATCCACATGACAAAGGGTGGCATTATAAGCTGCGAGGTAAAGAGGTACGTGCGAGGCAGTCATTACAGAATGATTTTTTCGAGTAAGTATTCTTAATAATTCAACCAAGTCACCTATATTAGTTATAAAATATTTAAAATGGAAATTAAACTCGTTTATGTGCAAAAGTATATTCTTGCAAGATATAACACTCTATTGTGAATTAAGCTGATTTTGAGATCGAATAAAGGAATGATAATGCCAATGAGAGCCGACACGGTTGATCATATATACAATATATGTACACATATATATTAATTAATAGTTACAGATGTTTCAACCCTAATGCCTAAATTCTAAGCAGAATCATAAGGCTTGTAATATCATGTTACATATACTTATAAGAACTTTTAAATATTATCTTATATCTTTATATTAGGTTGTTAATGTAGTATATTGCACATTTAAAAAATTAGCGATCATACCATTCAATAGAGCGAAGTTTCAGTTTTAAGAATCTAATTTCTTAATTGCAGTACAATTTTTAACAGAGTTACAAGCAATTAAAATCAAAATGTTTCTTTACTTAACACACGAAAAACTCGGGAACAAAAAATTGTAGAAATACTTAAAAAAAAAACGTTTTGTAGAGAGAACTTCAAGCTTTTACGATAGAAAATAAAAAATTTTTTCAAGTTTTTTGGGTATATGAAAGACTCACAAAGTGAAAAGAAAATTGTTCATCTTTTTTAGTTAGTAGTTTTTACATGTAAGCATTATCAAACTCACATAAATTCAAAAATTATTGTAACCTTTTGAAAGTAGAGATTTCAAGCTTATTAAAACCCTTTTTTTAAATTTAAATTTCTTTTTAAGTTTATTTTTACGAAGATGTTGTATTTACAATTTTGAACTGGAAAATTGAAATAAACTTTCCAAACAACCTAATACAATATTTTTACAGACAGCTTCTTACTAACCATTAAATTTATAAGAAATTGTAGATATTTTCTAACAATTGTACGCCTCACAATACATACGCATAAAATCAGAATACTAATAATCATAAGTTCTTACAAGTTTTATGAGAACAAGTTACGAGTCTTACGATTTTACTTGGAATTAATTCATAAATTTGGATCATTCTCAATGTAAATCGTAGTAATTATAATTTTTACACGGAGTCCGTATAAAAATTATATATCACAAGTTGTCGAACGTTATGATTTACCGTTTTTGAATCATTTTAAGCTATTGTCCAAAATTAAAAAACTTTAATTACCATCTATCATTATAATATGATGTGATTATACTTATGTCTTGAGAGCGTGTACTCTTAATGACATTAGTATTCCTTTTCTCGATTTAATTTTTGGAGCCTTTTTTAATATTAATTATTGATTTTGAGATAATATTACAGATAATTACAATATATATTATAATTATAATTTGTGTGTGTAGAAAAATATATACATTTTATAAAATAAATATAACTTTCTGCGTATTTCTTCCAAATGATAGGACACATTGTGCAAACAAACTCACCTTTAACAGAGGATGACCCAAGCATAATATTAACAAATTCTGAATGGGACGTCGTCATTTCAAACAACGTCTTCGCATATTCATCATCAATATTATTTCCATAAGTAATATCACATAAATTACTCAGAGTTTTCAATAGATTAGATTGAGTCGCCTCGTCTTTAGCATCTTTTAGACCTAACTTTAAGGAAAATCTAGTAAACTGCGGCCACGAGTAACTGTTACTCAATGAACTGAAGATGAAGTTATCTTCTGTCTCTTTCAAACGAATCACTGCATCGTTCAGCTTCTCGCATAAAATTTTGATCTTCTGCAGGTTTTTTGATTCCTTTTTTAACGTTAATGTCATTATATGCAGCAATACCCTTATTAGATCCATTAAAGGTTTCTCTTTAGCCGTTACCAGACTTTCGTATCTCTTATATACACTTTCTAGCAATTGCACGAAACAAACGGACACCATATCTAATTTGTCGCCGTTTTGAGAAACGGTGTCGCAAATTTTCCCGCACAAAACAAGATCGAAAGTGCTTTCAATGAGATAGGTGATTGCTGCTGTATTTTCTTCGATCCAAGGAACGGGATTTCGTGACTCGGTTATATACAGAGCGATGTCGTGGCTGTAACGCCCATAAAGACTTTGAAGAAACTTTTCATTCCATTTGTATTTTAAATTGCTGCCTAATATGGGAAACACAACGTCCCCTTGCTTCACATTTTCTACCTTGAGGAAGTATTTTACCAACGACGAGATTAACTTGGTATTCTTGGTGATCAAAGTCGTTATCAGTTGGACCATGGACGCGGTGATACTTTTTGTTAGCAATAATGCGAAAGTATTGGTACTGATACCGAAAATATTGTGCGAAAAAATGGATAAATACCTTGATAAGGCTTTTTCCCATCTATTTATGTCATTTATCTTACTAGACTTTAGATAAATCAAATGCAAACTAAACTTTTCTACAAACTGCTCGTTCAACATATCATGCAATCTTGATTTCTTATTGCAATATATGTCCAACAATACCGGAACGATGTGTCCAAATACGGACAAGTTTTGCTTGTCGCTAGAAATAAATGTGCTCTTCTCCAACTTCATCAAAGCAGACAACAAGCTCGCGATGTCTTTTGATTCAAGCTGCAATACTTTTAATAATTCAATGTCAATATAATAATTATTAGTGCAAGCTTCCAGGGGTTTTTTCTTGATAATGTTCTCCAATTGTGTAAGGAACTTATTTCTAAACGCGAAGAAAATATTACAGATTCCTTCGTTATGTTTTTCACACAAATGCAAAACAGACTCGCAAATCTTCAGAATAGTTTCAACAATCATATATTCTACCGAGTTTTTCGAGATTTCTCCACGAAATGGCGAGAAATAATGCAGCAAAATAGGATGAGTGAAGATACAACTCGCGTTTTCTTTAAGTATTACTGCATTTTCTTGATTCGAATCAATAGATTGTGACACATTTAACAGAAATACAAGCACGAGCTTGCAATTTTCGTTTTGGGCCTGCCTCAAGTTTTTCGACTGCGCTAGCTGTGCTAAATAAAACACGGTCATCTTCAATAAAGCCTTAACATCGTACAAAGATAAAGAGTGCTTAATAGTGACTTCTTTGTCGCCATATTTAAAACAATACGTCGAATGACCATCATTAAACAATTTAGAAAATTTAGTTACGTCTATCTTGGAATCCGCCAACAACATATTACTCAGTTTATACAATAATCTTAAACATGATAGCTTGTTCTTTAAGGAAATTGGTTGTTTGTTTTTACTTGACCAATTTTCCAAATATTTATAAATTGGCAAATTGGTCGAATTTATTGCTATAAAAATCAGTAGATCAGGCACGACTTGATAGTGTAGAGTGTGAACCATCACATAGGATAAATAAGCCAAGATTGTAGCACAATTTTTCTCACTTATCTTTTGCAGCGCACAGCATAGAAGTGGTGAGACTGCCGTGCAAGCCTGCATTCTACAAGGATTCTTTTTACCAAAATTATTAAAAAGAATATCAATTGCCTCATTAGTATCCTTTATATCAAGATTAGTAGATTCAATCGCTAAATGCGATATTGTTGTAGATACGATTTTATGAAATCGGTTTTTGTTGGAAGGAAAATTCTTTGGATTTGCCTTATCAAGTAATCGATTAATTGTTTCCTCTATCTCCTTCGTGTCAAAGTTAATCATTTGGTTGTTCTTCTGTGTTATACACTTAGGAGGTTTAATAATATCTTTCGAATTTCCTTGATTAAATTTAAAGCTATTAACGATTGTATCAATCTTCTGTTCATCAAAACTGAATTGATCGTTGATTGAAGACGATGTTACTGCAGAAAATTCTCTCTCTTCGCAGGGACTAGTAATTTTGTTAGCTTTATCAAATAATTCATTAATTATATCTTCTACTTTTTTTAAGTTGAAATTAACTATTTGATCGTTTATTGCTCCTTCCGCTTGTGTTATAATATTTATATACTTGTCAATGTGTTTAATGGCGCTTTTTAGAACAGACATAAACCACTGCGTCAACTGCTCATTCTCTTCAGAATCCGCAACCACTGAAAAACCATTAATCCAAATGTCCAGCTGGTCTTCACAGGTTTCAAACAAACCTGTTATATGTAGCAGCGTCCTGATAGCATTGAAATTATCTGATGATGAATTTTTTTGACGGATCAAAGATATCAAGAAGACAAGAGTTTCTTTAAAAACTTTGTCTTGTGGAGCAAAAATAGAAGAATCTAAGGCAAGTAGGAATTGTATTGTCTTGACTTTCATGCGATTTACTTTCTCCATTTTAATAGTTCCTTCTTCATCTTGGAGATTATTTAAACTCGATAGCAATAAATTCGGTTGTAAATTTATCGAAATATCCAACAGTTCTGGACATATATCCTTATACAAATGAAGAATGCTCAAAATAGTATCAAGATGATCTACCAACTCTGGACTCTGAATGCTTTCCGCATTTTCCGAAGCTTTTATGTCGATATCATTTTTAAAAGCTCGGTTCCACATTTGTAAAATAGTTTCCAAGGAAGGGACATTCTTCAGAATAAAATGCGTTATTTGATTTTGAACTGTAGATGTCTTATAAAACTCTTTTGTAGTTACAGAAATGGCTTTCAGCTGGTTAGTCATTGTTAGGAGAAGAGACAAAGCCTCGTGTCTAACAGAAAAACTGTCGTGATTTAATCCTGGTAAAACAGCAAGTTTTACAATCGCATTTGGAACCGCCAAAGAAAGTAATGCGCTTATCAAATTGTTTGCCCTCAGTTCTGCAGAGCAAGTTTTGACACTATTATCCGGATTGACTGATTTCACTATCTGCAAAAAGAAAAGTTGATAAACTAAATCACAAAAATAGGACAATAATTATTGCATAAACCTATAGGCAGGCACCTCACCTTTCCTATAAATTTAAGAAGACAAATCCATTTGGGTGAAATTCGGGGTTCAAGAAACGATTCGACTGCACTATATTGCGAACGAATTAAATCCGGACAGGCACTCATTATCCTAACAATCAAATCCGATGGCTTTTCATGTTCCCAAGGTTTCTCCAAGTTCTGAAGAGCTGTATATACTAACTGATTGTGCTTATTTTGTGAATTACCCAGTGTTCGGTCATGAAAAATAACTCCGTAACGATGTGATGTTAACAAAGTGACTAAGAATTCATGAACCATGTCACTAACAACCTAAATAAAAAACCAGAAAAATTAAAGAAAGAAATAAATAACAAAAAGCTCGATAATTATGTTATATTATAAAAAATTATCAAAACATTCATTACTTTTCGTAATATTGCTCCTCAATCAAGAATTGTGTCTTGTTATGTTTTTATCAGAATTGTTTTAATAAATTATAATATATTAAAATTTATATTTCTCAATATTAAATAAATTTACGTCCATCCATTAATAATTCTCTTGCTAGTAAAATAGTAAATATGTTCTAGTAAATATATTCTCTTGCTAGTAAAAAAAAAAACTATATTGCCATTAAACTATAATTTTTAATAATCCATTGTAAATAGAATTATAACTTATAATAATTTATAATGGAAAATTACCTCCTTGTCTGCTAGAAAGTTCTCACTGTCATCACAAATGTTAGTTTTGTTTTTAGGCCAGTTGTAGGGACCTTTCCAGTTGTACAATGATATCAGATTCAATACAGTAGATGTGGAAAATACATGTAACTTCGTCGTTTTACTAACGCCGGTATTCTCCAGCACGTACGTCTTTACAGTGGTCAGAACCAAGTTGATGATATCCTTTGAATCATACAACAGTTCTGAGAAGATGCAACAGAGCAGACTGCACTTGTCCAAAAGTGTTCTGATCACTAGTATGTTCCCTTCCACGAGGAAAGCAAGAACAAAATGAATGAAACATGTTCTGACGCTTTGAGAATCTGTGGGTTTGGTTTGCTGTACCAGACTCTCTAACGTTTGTTGCTGCAATGACAAGTGGATAAGCAGCTCCCTGGACAGATTGCTATCTAGAGATGCTACTGTCGTTAGTAGCTTCAATATCACTTTACGCTGCTTGGCACTGCTCTGAATAGAAAGCATGGAATGTACAATGGACATGTGTGAATTTAATAAGTGACGACAAGCTTCTATTGCACTATTTCGATACTGAGGATATTCTGTCAAAATCCTACAAGTAAAAAATGTAAATTACATTTAAACTACATTTTATGGCTAAACTAGTATATAGTATATACATGTACTAATATATACATGTACTTAAAATTAATTGCATCTAACTTTACTAATTTTATATATAACAACATTTAGTAAATAATCCTAATGTACTGAACGCAAGCGATCAAATTCACTAATAGTCAGTTTTAGTGCAATCTAGTGCAGCTACAAAGAACAGGCTTATATCTCAATATTATAAATATTAAATTTATGACTATATTAGATCTAAAATTTGTATCTGTGTGATAAAATCTGTTTTTATATAAATTAACAAGCATAAATTTTAATATAGATTAACTTTAATTTTGGTTCAATTTATTCTTCATTTTTTTCTAATTCTTAGAACTGGAAAAAGATAGATGAAGAGTGAATTAAATCAAAATTGAAGTTATTTAAGAATTTGGTCACTCGTATTACATTGGATTAATGCATATTAAAGGCTGCTTTATATAAGATATTTAAAAACAGAAATAAAATATCAACTTTAACAATGAAATAATAGAAATATATTCTTAGGTAATGAAGTAATATCATTATTAAATATGTAATCCTTTAAAATGCTTGTGTATTTATCCCTCAGTTATCACATTTCAGTCACGATTATACAACTACCATACTGTAAAATTGGCATTTATCATTTTTCGTCATGTATAACTTTAAAACACAAAAAGCAAAAGTAGTTCCATTATATGGTTTTCTGAAGTAAAATTTTCCTGGAAACCCATTGATAATAATAAAATTAAACAAAAATATTTTATTGTAAGAAGTTGTAAATTAAGAAAGTAAGAAATCGAAGAATTACAACAAAGTGAAAATTTTGCTAATGCAAATTTGTACCAGTGTGATAACTAAAGATTAAATACTTAGGGGTTAAATATACAGATAATACATGTTGCTTCGACAGACGTACCTCATAAGTAAAATATGTGTTGCAGAAAAGACAGTGACAGCAATAGAAGTATTTTTCTTGTCAGAAGACTCTAACAGTCTTAGAACTTCAAGGACACTGCCACCAATGTGCAGATACTCTGCCGCCAGGTCCCTTTCCTTGTTCTCGCTACATATTGTCACGAACTTCCTCAGTGCGGCTAAATTATTAGAAGAGGAGAACAGCGTTCTGAAAGATTGTCCATCAAATATATCCTGCTGATTATCCCAAACAACGTCCTTCGTGTCATCTTTTTCGGAAACAACGTTTTGTCGCTTTACATCATGTTCAACAACTTCTTCGACGGAGCCATTGATCTTCACCTTTTTCGTTAACGTTTCATTCTCATTTCTCGAAGTCCGCTTGCGTGCTTTTTTCGACTTACCAGCCGTATCATCCATTCTTGAATATGTTTACCTATGTATCTGTTGTATGCACACACGTGTTCATTGGGCATCGCCATATTTCCTGGATCCTGGGTTGCGTTCCAAAATTCGACTCTGTCAACCCGAGTATCAATGGGCGCGTTCAGCGGACTCAACAGTTGAGTGAGCGCTCGCTGTTATTGGTGTATTCGTCTAGATCTAAAATTCTGATTGGATTATCTAAAAGAATACACCAATAATAGCAAGCGTTCATTCAACTGATGAGTCCGCTGAACGCGCCTAATGCTTGTTTCCACCAATAAAGTCGGGAGCCTGTACAGTGTGATTACGGCTGTAGGTATATAAACAGTCGTTTTCAGAACGCAAATAGTATGTTGTCTGATGCCATCTGATGCTGTCATTTCGGAATATTATGGAATTATGTATTGCATTGCATTGTGTATGTATAATATTTATTATACAATAAACACACACAAGTATTGCAAATACGTACTATAAAATACGATAAACAAAAAAACGTTAGTCATACAAAATGTACTAGTATGACGTGTATATAACCAAATAAAAGACAGTACAGAATACAAGCTAAACGGATAAAATGGAAAATATAATAAAAGTACAGTTTATTATCAAAAATTAATATTTAAAGTATATTATGTTATCCGAGAATATTTACTCGTGAGACATGGATAACGTCGAATTGTTGTTCTTCGATACATTTTCCCACGACATTTCAGAGGTTTGTTTACATGGATTTAATTACAATTAATTAAATCTGACGAAAAGCTATTTATTAACAATTTCGTTAAAATTTACGTTAGTGACACATTGAAATAAAAATTAGTAGAAAAAGGAATTTTTACTTTTTAATACATTTGCATAATGCATATATTTGAAGACTACACTTTTGAGGTTATAATTGTTATATAATCGTAAAGTATAAATTTTCTCACAAATTCATCACAGTTTTTTAAAATAAAAACTTTTTATTTTTAAATTATTTTAAGTTTATAATTATAGAAAAATATATTTATCACTGTGTGAATTGTTATATTATTTATATATTATGCATTTCAAATAAAAAATATCAATAAAATAATAATATAATATATATATAAGGCTATAAGAGTCAACCGCAGATTGTTATGTTGCCAAATTATTTCGAACAATAATTCACATTACATATGATTCGTAAGTTTCAACTCCAATTTGACTCATCTTCAACAAGTAAATCCACCAAAAAAATCAGTTAATTTTTTTTTTTAATTTATCTTCTAAGACTATATTAAGTTTAGATATAAACAGTATTGGAGAAATTAAACTTTGTTTACAACAATATTTTGTAAAAATCCCTTATTTTACAAAGGAAGGATGTCAAAATGTATTTTGTCCAAAATTTATACTTTTTAGAAAATGAAAGAAATTCACAAAAAAACTACACACCTTACAAACAAATAATTTGTTAATCAGTAAGATGTGAAATTTCTCAACAAAATTGTGAAACAGTTTCTGAAAATGTTAAAAAAAAAATACATGTCTCTAATTTAAGGACACAATGTACTTCAAATATCAAGATTTTTCAGCATATAAGTTGATGGTGTAGAAATACTTTTAGAACATCATAGAGTAGTAAAATAGAGTCGTAAAATATGTGTCTTTCAAAACTGAACATTATGTCATCTTTAACTAAAAAAAAAAATGAAATTTTGGACAAAATATATTTTGGAAGTCTGCTCGTCAAATAATTCCCAGTTGTCTTTTTTTTAAATTTTTATAAAATATTGGGTAATATGATGTTTATATAGTAATCATGCTCTTTTAGGAATTGAACTTGGATTTAGTGCAATTTCCCAAACCTGTTTACATTAGTGAAGTAAGAATCATTCCATTAGGTGCCAGAGTACAGGCAGACTTTCCAGGAGGAGTACGACTTGGGTAATCATTCTTTATTCTTGACATTAAAAATAGCAGTTTTTTTTTTCAATTAATCATTATCTACTAATATTCAAACTTTTAAGAAATACAAGGGATTTTATTCTTCCTTTTAGAGCAACTAATCCCTCACAATTTGAGATCGAATTTTTCGTAAATGATCTCAGCAAACCTGGAGCTTCGACCTTCGAATTTTTAGGTGGTTTAGAATACAAACAGAATATCCATATTCAATTAGAATGCGAACGAAAACAGATACCAACAGATGGGTTGGTACTGAGAGGGTGGTATACCACTATTACACTTGCAGTGTACGGTACTCTAACCAAATCACTGAACAATCCTCAGGAAGTCATTAGTTCGGCAGCAGGTTCTACTGCTTGCGTCAGTTCTATAGAAGAAAATTCTGAAAACGCTGTACAAATTTCTTCCGAACAGCAACCTGAATGGTATTATGAGAATCAACATCAAACGAATTTATCGGTAAGAAAATATAATAGTGTTCATTTTTGAAAAAATCCAAACAAAAGTATCTAAAAGATACTTGGAAAATTAAATATTGCATATTATATTTTAAATATTTTTTGTAAATTTAATGTATTTGATAGCGTATTAATTCGATACTTATAATGTAGTTGTAGTTATGTTCTTTAAAAATTCAACATTGCAACCTTAATGCTAACTTTTTATTTTTGTATCAATTTTTTCTACCGATGCAGCAATATCTTCTTCACTATCTTTTTAATGATTTAATTTTTATTTATAAACACATAACTTTATCAGCAGGAAACATGCGTGACGGCAACTCCATCACCACAACCGATTCAAGTAGTGGAGCCGTCCAGGACGTCCACATTGGACACGGGAAAAACAGAATCCAGACAATGGGAAGAAGAGACATCCAACGCAGGCGAAAAATCATCAAAGCGACCTTTGTCTCCACCTACCGAGTCCTTGATCTCTCTAAGTCCCGAGTCCATCTCCGCTGAAGAAGAAGAAGCAGAGCAACAGGAAGCTGGCGAACCGGAAACTGGCGAGCCCTTCGAACCGATATTGTCGGATGAAGATATAATGACTGATGATGTTCCATCTACTGTCGAGTTTGAGTGTGAAGCATCACAAATCGATGAAATCTATGCAATGATGCCACCTGATTTATTAAGTCTGGAGAAATTGGGAGACTTGGAGGACACTCACATGAATCATGAGACTTTATTGAAGATCAGAGAGATTCTACAATCCCTCTCCAAGTCGGTCTCTCATTTCCATAATGCATCCGGTCAAGAAAAAGAAACGTTCGTTCACAATTGCGAGACTTTATGTGCCATACTGAGTCCGTTTGACTCCGACGTAAATGATATCAATGATTTGACTAATATTGTCAATGCTGGTTTGGATATGGATCTCGCTAGGGCCCAACCACAGCCAGCATACAAAGTACGTCACGTAAAAGTGGGAGTTCGCTTAGCGGAGGCTCTCTGTCGATTATCGAAAGGTCCAGAAATTTTGTTGAAGGTTCAAGCCCCGTACAAATTGCTGTCTCTTTGTATGCGCGAAAACGTGGCGTTACCAGTGAAACTTTCCGCCCTAAGAGCCCTCGATGCCGCATTGATCAGCCCGATAATCGTACAGGAATTTCTAAGGAACAATTTATACAGAAATGCACTAACAATGCTGGACACAGCTAAGCTGGCCAGGCTTAAATACGCCCTGAGTTCGCTCTTCCGTAAAGTCCACGTATACGAATATCTAGAAGAGATCAAGAATTTCGATGAATTTGGCTTAGCAGAGCTGATGAACACTTACGTGTACGCTCCAACGTTGATGGCACAGCCTAAACGCCAATTACCAGTTGGTGCTCAGATGGAATTCGAACGAGAGTATACTCGCAACCCTCGCGCTCATCTAGTGGCTTATTTCGAATATCATAAACTGGCTCATCATCTTCTACTGGCGTTGTCTTCTCCTAATTGCAATTTGCAAATGATTAAATTAATCCGCCGCTTCCTCTTGCATCTCTCCAACACCATGGAAGGCCTCTTCTACTTATTGAAGGAGGTCAAAGTAATTCAATTGATATTAAAAGCTCTAAAATACGAGCTTCCAGGTGCTGGGCGTATTCTGGCGTGGCGTCTTCAGGTTGCACAGTGTTTGATTCGCTTAAAACAGACTTCCGACTGGACGATCTTAAAGAGACTGCACTCCTTCCTCATTTTTCCAGACGGTTTGCGTGCTATTCTCACGGTTCTGCCCCTGGGCGACTTCATAGATATTCTGATTCCTTTCTTGTCAGACTCTAATCTCTGTGAATTCGCTGCCGAGGTGATCTCTACGGTTGTCCGTTACTCCGACAGGGTAGAGATCTTTCAGAACCGTGCAGAATTAATACTGGACAAAACTCGCGAACATGTCATTCTCAGGGATGTGATATCATATCTGACAGTCGCAGCTCAAGCTTCTCATTGGGATTACTGCGACGTCTCCCTATTGGTGACGATTATCAGGAAAAGTGCCGAGAAGGCTGCGTCGCTTCCAGGCCAGCTAATTACTGCCTGTAGAATCCTGCATTATCTTATCTTTCCATCAAATAATGACGTCGACCCTTTGGAGCCGTATATTGAACTCAAATACAGGAATGCTCTAACTCAATTATTCGCCGCTGACGGTCTCACCGCTCTAGTTGCCGTAATGACAAACGTGTCTGAATTCTATGAACAACCGCTTCTTCATCGTGCTGCTCTAACTGGTCGCAGAGGCATGGCGTTAATCGCCTTATTGCTTCCTTGCGTAAAGCTGACAAGAGCGTTGCTCGAGAGACTTGTCAAGTGCATGGCGACAGACTTCAAGGATCTCACGGCCGTCGTTCCACTGCTCGGAGTCTATTCCTTAATCGAAGCCATTCCATCTAACCTAATGGTACAAACTTTGTCCGAAGAAATCGTAGGAACGCTCCTGGTCTTTACCCAAGCCGTTGATTCCGACGGTTCTGGCAACGTGGCGAAATCATTATGGACTCAGATGCTGGGCGAAGTTCTAAAAATGATCTCCTTCCGTCCTTGCAATTTCGTGCCAGGTCTAAAGTTACTAACTCGTTTGCTACCATCTGTTCTAACACCTAAAGAAACCTCCAATGAAGACGCAACGAGAATTCTGGGCCTAAGAAAGCTCTGGTCAGCACATCTTCAAGCTCAGGCTACGAATCTCACTGAAACTCTTCGGTTACTCTGCACGAGTTGGAATGGAGACGTTTTACTTCTTTTATCTACAGTTTGCAAGCAATTAAGCGACTTGGCAGCACCGACAGCTCTTTTGGTTGGGAGGTGTCTTTTAGATGGTATTCTAGCAGCCACTCCTTTGGAGAACAACGTTCCTATTCTCGCTCTAATCAGTGACCTGGCCAGGCATGCACCTATGAAGGCTACTTTGCTAACATTGACCAGTCCGGCGTCCAGAGCGCAAGTAAAATCCGATCAAAAATATCCGCCGGTTATCGAGATGATGTGCTCCACTTTGAAAAGTAGCAGCGATGTCAACGTACAATACGAGATCCTCAGTATCTTTGAAACTCTATGCAACTGCAATCTCAGTCTAGTACAAGAGGACAATGAACCTTTGGAAAAGAAACTGACGCACTCGGTACCCAGTAAGGAGCCTCTTTTATCTATACTCGCAGCTTTAATCGATATCTTGGCGATCAGCATAAAGTTTCAATTAGATGTGATAGAAAATACGTTACACATTCTCTTGTCTCTCAGCAATCACAATTACGGTCTATATCATGTAAAGAGCTGCCTGGAAAACAATCCCGTCGCTTTGCGCGCGCTACTGGATCACGTATCGAGCTTGGAGAACTCCGAAACAAATTCCACTGTAGATTTAACCGTAACGTTTTTGGAAAATCTAATTGCCTCCGACTCGGAAGCGAGGACCTTGCATTTGCGCGCGCAGCAATTGGCATTCTTGATTTCTTGGGAGAAGTCCGATCATCCCTTAGAGAAACTGAAGCGCGCAGACGAGTTGAAAGAAATTTTGAGAGCCGCCGAAGAGAAAGAAGAGAAAGAACCTATCCCAGAGATGCTGGAGCCTCTGTTGCCCACTCCGGAAGCATTATTGAATCAGTTCTCACAAAGATGTCTTTGTACGACTAATAGTCCAGCCCGGCCCAAAAAGTTTTCTTTCACGACCAATCAAACCGAAGATACAGTAGACTTGTTGGCACTCGCCACTGAATTACTGCCCGCTGACTTCAATCTACTAGTAGAGGCGCAAAACTTATGTTCTAAAATACCTCCTGATGACACCACTCAACCTCTACAACCAAAACCCCAGGATGAAGAACAGGAAAGTAGTAGAGCGGAAAAACAAATTTCTCCAATGGCCAAGTCGAAACAACCATTTGGTAAGATTATTAAGGATTTGTTATGCGATTGCTGGTCTTTAATTCTTTATACCGAGAAATATTAAGAAATTAAAAAGAAAGAATAAACAACTTTTAATTAACCTCATATAATTTTTATAGCTTGTTCAAGGATTTGACGATTTATGATTCATGATAATTCTTGTAGTAACCCCAGTGCGAGGTCGGACACAATTCACCAATTCTCTACGAGGTGGTCCAGTAGGTGGAGGAGTAGGTAGAGGATCCGATCCCTTCCGATCGAGGCCGCCCAACACCTCCAGACCACCGTCTCTTCACGTGGACGAGTTTGTGGCGTTGGAAACTTGCGGAGCTCAGCCAACCGGTCCTACCGGATACAATAAACTCAACATCCGTGGAACATGCCCATCGCGTGCTATCAGCAATAGTACCAGGAGTCGACCTTGGACACAAGAAATTCGTCCCACGTACCTTCGTTAATTAGTTACTGTCTATTCTCTTTCATTTCGTATATATATATATATATATATGTATATTTACAAAATAGCAGTTATATCAATACAATATATAATTTTTTCTTGAAAGGCTGTATTTTGCAGAAATAATATTTCATTTTTTAATGAATTAATGTTTTATCAACTTCTGCCATTTAGGATACTCTTCTTCGAATTTTTCGATATTGGCCTCCAAACGCTTTAATTTTCGAAATCGGTACTTGCCCTGGAAAAGATATTTTATATATATATATATCAATAAAACAAGAAAATAACGTAATATAGTACAAGGCCATAAGAGTCAACCGCAAATTGTTTATACGTATATTGCGAAAAATAATTCAACAATGCGTTACATAAATTTGTACGTTTCGACTCCAGTTTGAGTCATGTTTAGCACTATACTTAAAAAATAATGGACAACTTACTCTTGCCTTATAATTGTTCCACGATGGTGACATGCAGAATGAGAGTTTAAAGATATTGTAATAGCGATGCAGTATCTTGATTGTTGCGGTCATTTTTTAAGTATAATACTGAAGATGACTCAAATGGAATCAAATCGTACAAATTTATATAACGTATTGTTTGTTAAATTGTTTTTCGCAATATAAATAACCTGCGGTTGACTCCTATGGCCTTGTACATCACAACATTACTTTTTTATTTCATAATATTAATTAAAGGAGTCTATAATTTATGAATATTATATGTATATCAAATCTTTGAGTGTATATATTCAATAAGTTAGACTACTATGAATAAATCAAATAAGAAAGGACTAAATAAGGTTGATGCCTATAATATTTACATGCAAATTTTTAATATAATTTCCAGTTATATCAACTGTGCGTTGATTACTATCGGATTTAAAACATACGATTAAAATCATAAACTGAAGCTGAAATAATATCACAAATTAAATCAATCATCAATTTAATAATAACGCTAATAAGAATGTTAAAATACTGCAGAGAACTATAGAAATGTACATTTTTTTTAATTGATCAAGAGTTAAACACGTAACAAAAGATTAATATTAACATTAATTGTGGCAAACTTCATACCGTAGGTTTCTCGATCTTTGATAAATTTTCCGAAAACTTTTTTAAGTTTTCAATGGTCTGCGCAGTAGGTTTCGTTTTGTTCTCTATCATATATCTCATCATAAACAACAAATATTCAATGTCTTTTTTAATGTAAGCCGTACTCATGAGAGTACCTATAATTACAGAATTGGGTTTATAGCCAAAAACTTCTATTCCTTCCAGGAACTCTTTAGCCTCTCCACATTTTTGACAACCAAGTGCTAAGACCCCGAAAGTCATTACGTTTGGAGAGAGATCCTTCTTCTCCGCCATGCTTACCACCTCCTAAATTATTAAGTCGCATCAATGACAATCGAATTAGATTAATTAGGAATATAATAGCAAATTTGCTTACTTGCCCTACGCTGGATTACTACATACTACGCTACTTACTACATACTAAAAGATGTTATATATGACTTCTGCAAAGTTATATATATATATATAAACATATATAT